AAATTGTAACATAATAGCGCATAAAAAAGAAGAAAAAATCATTTTTCAAAAAAGATGAAGAAAAAGACATATTAAAACAGATATTACAATTACTGTATATTAAAACAATTATGCTCAACATGATCAACATGGTAATTTAATCAGTGTCATATTTTTATTAAGTGTGAACGGATATCTTAAGATATTTAATAAGGAGGGACTTCGCTAATAGCGATTACATAATAAGGGACAATAAACAAGTGTGGTGTTGATCATGCGTTACACAAAAAGATTATATAAATGATTGTATATGTCCGGTGCCATTGATAATCACGATATAACATTGATCAGCATAAAAAAAAACTAATAATTAAAAGTATAAAATAAAATGTTATAACTTAAAAGAAAAGACTGTTGCATTTTTTATTTTTTTTTTCAAAATCGGCATTAAATATCGTCAATCATTTATAATTTGAACAACACGAAACATATATACATCAACATTATGCACAAAAAGCAATTATAAATAATGACATATACATATAATATAACATTATAAATGTATTTTATCATTTACAAAATGTTAAAAAAACGCAATGTAACGTGATAATGATATTGTTTTATTCATATAAACGAAATATTTACTTACAAAACAATACAATGCAATACAACAACAACAAAAATAGCATCAAAGTCAATTAATATATATGTTTGGAATTATTTTATATACATTTATCTATTTAGTTAACTATACTTATTTTGTTATTTCAAACTTTTTCATACAAAACAATACAATGCAATACAACAACAACAAAAAATAGCATCAAAGTCAATTAATTAATATCCTTGAAATTATTTTTATATATATTTATCTATATAGTTGGCTATACTTATTTTGTTATTTCAAACTTTTTCATCTTCTATTTATTTTTGCCATCATTTATGTATTGATGTATTCATCTTTTTATTCACTTATTAATTTCTTACATTTAGTGCATTCCCAAGACCAGTTATCAAGCGATTTTCTTATATTCTTTTTGATTCCAACACATTTATGATGATACCATTTTTTACATGTTCTGTTACCACAATAAACTAGATTGTCTACAAACTCGGGCATTTCACATGAACAGAAAGTTTTAATTTTAAATATTTAGGGATGCCTGTGAATGCAGCTGTGCGTGTTTTTTTAATTTCTTTTGGGAATGGATAAAATTTACCATTTTCTAAACAATAAACCAAATGTTTGCGCATTTCCTCTACAATAAAAAGATACATTAGTATTGATTTGACCATTATTGTAACAAAATTCCACCGCATGTGCTATTGCAAACAATCCACAATCGTAGCTGTTCGGTTGTTGTTGAACCCTAGGAACTTTTATTTGAAGTATAGAATTTTGACTGGTATATATTTGGCTTAACTGAATTTGAACATTATTTTTTAACATTTTTAATGAATCACTTAAACTGTCAATGTAATAGATGTAGTGTGGTTCTTTTAATTGCTGCATGCTTACTGCCCAATGATTTTGTCCGTCAAAATGAAGTTGAACTGATGGTGCTGATTGCTTGTAAAATTTTTTATCTGTATTCCATTTTTTATCTTTCTCTACAAAGAATGGTGTATTTGTTGTGAGTTGGAAACCTTGTAATTGTGTGTATTGTCTTTTTAGTATGTTTGTTACCGCAGTCATGTGTTTATCCGTTAGCCAATGCTTATTTTCTATTTCTTCTTTGTCATTTAGGTTTAAATTCAATTCTGAGAGCCATGGTTTGAAAGTTTGTTCAGTTGCATCAGATGTTCTGTCATTTATACAATCAACTAATATAGTATGTTTTTCGGGAGAACAAAGTGGAAGTGGAAGTTCTAATTTTATTTTTTTATTTTTAGCATTTTGTGGATTATCATTTGATCGTTTATTTTCATTGCATTTGATAGTTTTTGATTCTTCATTATGTGAATTGAAATTATCATTGATTGCAGTATTTTCATTATTATTTTGATTTTCATTGAGTTGATTGCTTTCATTGAATGTGATACTTTGTGGCTCTTCTTCTGGACTATAAACATTATCATTTATTTCATTATTTTCATTATTTTCATTACTGTCATAAGCCTGTGATTTAATGAGTTTCGAATCTGGTGCTGGTATTACTGTTTCATAATCACTTGGTTTTTGTTTTTTTAGACCTAATCTTTTTTGATTTTTAGGGCGATTTTTAAACGCATTAGACTTATTAATTTCCTATCATTGACCTGAGTTTTAGTTTGAATACCTATGCTTTTTTTTGGCTGCTATAATGTGGTAACATGTACCAGTAGACGGACATTGACATTTTTCTTTTGGAAACAATGTAACACTGTATTTATTATCACTCGTACCTCTCACCATAAAAGCGTTCATTTCTGGTATGTGTTTAACACCGTCACTTTGTATGACTTTATTAGCTAAATCTTCTTGAGACATGCTGCCTCGTTGTGAGTCATTCGATTTGTTGGTTATGTTTTCACTTTTTTCCTCAACTTTTTCAATAATTTGCTCATGATTATTACAGAGCGCTTCACTGTCTTTTTTTGTCTCATTTAAAAAACATATTATATGTAATGTCTTTGTGAACTGATATGAATTTATACACTATTGTATGTCTTTGTGAATTTCAAGAAATGTTATAATGTTTGTATGTGAAATCAGAAAATAAAGTTACAAATTAAAAAAAAAAGTTATACATTGAGGAATAAAAATTATAACACGTGCAATTAAGAATATAATTGTGGCGCGGTATGATAATGTTTCAGAACAACCAACTTTATATCTTTTGCATTCTTTGGCAATAAGTAGTTATAGTAAATAGCTAGTTTATGGAAGTAAAAATAGTACTTTGTACATTGCGCTCTTTCTAAAGTTGTTGAAGATAAAATGCTTACTGCAAGTATGTACTGTATGGATATACTAAAAATAATGTTAAAAATATTTTGAATTCTAAAAAAGCATACTTCAAAAATGCTTGTATGAATTAAATATGGAAATATATTGCCTTAAAAGCAAATGGCGCATATATAATAATGGAACCAATGACATTTTACTGTTGATAAATTTTATTAAAATATTTCATAAGATACTCTTTTAGATAATATTTGTGAGGGTATGATAATACCTAAATACATGAAGTCTCCTTAAGTCAACATAAGCTGTGCATTTTAAAAAAAGTGAAATACAATATATAACAAGAAAATGTGACAATGCAGGATACACGTGCAATTAAGAATTATTGGGCGCGGTGATGCAATGTTTCAGTACAACAATCTTCATTTCATTAAAGCGCCAAGCCTCCGGATAAGTAAAATAAACCTTCGTGTAATTTTAAATGTAATGTTTAAAATCAAAGTATCTGCAGACACGAAAAAATCTATACATTATCTACAACTTAACGAAAAGAAAGGCGCCACTTCGAAAACAACAGATTCTTGTATGAATTCAAGAGCACGATATCCTGGATAAGAGAATACACTGTAATAATCTTTCCTGAGGTACTCGCCCAAATATTTCACTTGACTGTGACCTAACACAAGAGCCATTGTCACAAACTTTTTTAATCAATTTTATCCAGCACAAAACACTATTATTTTGAAATCAAATTTTAGTAATAAAAAGGCACTACGCAAATACAATCCAATTAAATGTTGAATCAAAATTCAATATCAATCACAATAATACTATTATATAAGTAAAGGCAGAGTTGATTTAGTATCTTATTTTTATAGCCAGAATAATAACTCTAATTAAAATACTTACTTTTTACTCATGTACACACGCCGATTTGATTGGACATGCAACTTTAATAATTTTCACAGCTTTTGTTACCTTCATAATTTGCCTGATACTATTTAAATACCATCTAATTGTTAAAAACCTTTCATTGGATACTTTTATCTTTTAAACATTTTCATTACGTGCGACACGTGTGTAATTCTCAGGCCGGTTTTGTTCTTTGATGTACCGTCACCATAATATTTGTAGCAGTTAGTTACCAATTACTTAAATGTACACGTAACAAACAGCTGAATATATACTAATTCACTGACACCTCCGTAATTGATTCAATTCAATTCAATTCAATTAATATGCGCTTACATCTATTAAATTTGTTTCACTGTTTGATCTCAATGAAGATAATAATACAAAAATACTATTTAATTACTATTTAATTACCATTTCGTTGTTTAATTCTTTTATTTGAAAATTTTATCTTTTTAGATATTGTCATCATTTGCTATATACTAACGCTATTTAATTACAGGCCGAAAAAAAATATCTTTGATCTATATTTGTCGTTATAATATTAATGCTGCACTTATTTATAAAATAATGAAAAAAAAATACAAACCACTATAAAATTAACCAATTAAAAGACTCTCCCGTAATTGATATGCTTTCTCATTTCTAACATTTTATGCTCGCATGAATTAATTTATATCTTTTCCCGTAAATTAATACTTTTACATTTTTCTCTTTAATGAAAATATATAATTAAAAACAACAACAAAACACATAATAAAAACAATTTATTTGAAACGAAATACATTATATAGGGAAAAAAATCTTATATCAACACATTTTTCATCTAGAAAGATCGATAACTTTTAGAAGACCGGCACTGACCGGGCCAGTAAATATGATACTATTCGCCGGTCTCTCGTAAATTCCGGTCAAAATAGACCGGGAGAGACCGGAGACCGGAAGGGACCGGACCGGAGAATAGTACATCCCCTATTATATTCGGGTATGCTTCTTTAGCTGGATTATTCCTAATCTGAGAGACCGATATCATCTGAACATTTCTATTGCTCGCAGATGCAGTTCGACTAATCAGAAGTTCTTACTTTCCCGACATTTGAATAAATAAATCTGCAACAGTTGTAAAAAGACTTCTCGTTAGCCTAGCTCAATCTTATTTTCGCGGAAATAGTTTATTATCGGTATGCATAAAAATTTAAATAAAGATTTAGTGTCGTTGTACCTAACACTGGCGGCCACAAGAAGGGCTTTAATGCTATACACTTTATCCAGATAAGAATACCATGAGTCGATTGAAGACGCATTATTTAAGGGTTTCAGTATTTTATTTTGATTATATGACGAAGTTTACGTAGCGAGTTCGATAGAATTATATAGTATTTATAACGATCGAGTGTCCTACTAATTGACGGTCTTCGAAGAAGTTCTCGGCCCAGTGCATTTTCGTACTCATTGTTCTATAGTAAATCAGTCACATTTGAGTCTTAATTCTGGATTCCACTGTTCTTGATGAATTATATACTGTCTTCAGATTTAAACATCAAAACTATTTAAGTCAAGTGTAGCCCAACAAATTGTGCACTTTAGGGCTTTTTATATAGGAATTACGGACGGTGTTTGGACTTTGGTAGTCAGACTATTCTCTCCCTTACCAGTTCCTTCCCTGACGGTTCTCTCCCTATTTTGGGGGAGAACTGTCTGCATATTGGAGAGGAACTGGTAAGGGAGAGAATAGTCTGTCATTCCTTTACACCTCCTGGATGTTTCAGCCCCGGACGTTTCATCCTCAAAACCCTGGTCTTTTCACCTCCACTTTTTAAATTTGATAAATATATGAAATAAATACCATTATGGGTTATATTATTATACATAATATAACACATACTTGCAAACAATTACATTCATGATATAAAGAAGATTTTTTTTGACATAATATTGTGAAATTTCCCTGGGAAAATAATTATAAATATAAGTTCTGAAAGAATTATCAGCTATAAGTCTACATGTATATATTATTTCATTTTTTTTTTGTTATCCAAAAGTTAAATACCATTAAAAAAAAGTGAAAAGAGTCGACATTCACAAATAGTCACTTCAGTGAAAACAGTGAAAAAACAAATGAAAACTTGCAAGGTTGAACTAGTAAAAGTGTACATGTACATATTGTATTATAGAAATCATAATGATTAGTCCGAAATGTTTTATATTATTATAGATTTTTAATATTTTGTATTATATACACAGAGTATTATATAAAAGAAAATTCAATGTTAGTACATTTAATTTTATTAACTTACATGATTTTTAACATTTTTTTATAAAATTTAACTTTTTTTTATTAAAGTATTTAATTTGAAATAATTGGTAGATTCTTCTAATAAATTCATTCTAGCTTGATTTTTTAAAAGCAAGTTTTTGTAATAGATTTATCTTAATGAATAAAAAAGACAAGAAATGAAGATGACAAAATGATAGTTTAATATTTAGAATAAAATATGATACCATTTTTATTTTCTTATTATTTTTTATAAAATAGGAAATAAAATTATATGATGAAAATAACAGTGTTTATTTTAATGTTATGTTTTTGTATAGTGCATACATTGTAGATATAGTAATTGACTCTGAATAAAATTTAGTAAATCTGATCATTTTGTTTTTATCTGTTTTTCATACATTGATACATATTTGGTAAATTTTATTTGAACAAGAATGTCATTTTTTAAATAAAATTTCTTAATTATAAATTTCAAAAAACAAATATTCTCTCAATGTCTATCATGCAAATTTATATGATATTGAGTTATCTCAATTATCACTCAATATAATCCAATTAAGGTGTAACAACAAAGGTATGTCAAACAAGTTTACTGATATTAATCCATACAGTATAAAATATTATTTATAAAAAAAAGTAGCCGAAACGTCTAGGAGGGGTAAAGACCAAAGGTGAAACGTCCAGGAGGTGTAAAGACCAAAGGTGAAAGTCCTAAAAATCTTACTGACAGGGCGGACCATGAGACAGGGCGGACCGTACCAGGGCGGACCGTATGTTTGGACGGGGCGGACCATATTTAGGGACAGGGCAGACCGTGACTTGAGACAAGGCGGACCGTGATTTAATGTAATAAAAATATTTAAATATAATTGCCTTTTCTTTTTTTTCTTTAAATCATTATGAACATATACAAATATCAATGCAGTTATTAATTTAGAATAAATTTGATTAATGAAATTATTTAAAACAGCATCGAGTTGGACATTATGCAGTTGATAATTGTCCAATTATTAGGATAATGCATGTCATTGTTTGTTAAGTAATAAGAGGGTATTACTTTATATATCAATACATATAGAAAAGGCTTGTTATTCACGTCTGACATTTGAAACACAATACAAAACAATAAGGTAAAATTATGATGAGTGACATTACAAAAATGATCACAAAAGGTAGACAAAATTTACATTGTGTACAGAAAAGATGACTTATTATTTAAAAGATATTTTAAAACATAATGACGAAGTCAGACAAACATATATACTAGTACAAAACGTAATCAAAGCACAGAAGGCGCTGAATTTGTCTGGGTCTTAGAATGTCAGAAAGGTGAAGGTTGTGAGATTATAAACCAATTTGTTTTTGTATAGTGCCACCAATGCTTTCCAGCGTTTTAATTGTAGTAAATTGGCTATAAGACTTATTGCAACACTGATATTCAATTCAATGTTTATTTGACTTAAACAATTTGAAAAAAAAATGAGTTGCCTTTACTGGGATTTGAACTCCAGACCTCTCGTTTCCTAAGACCCTCGGCCTTGGTGAAGTTATATGTTAACGGCCTGAAGAAAACCATATTATTCTAAATTAGGGTTTGTAACCATGCTAACTGTTGTTTAACACAGATGTAAATAATCATGGAGCTTACTATAAGCATGTATATCTATAAAGAATAAAACAATATTGGAAATCTTTGACCATTCGGGAACTATTTTGCTTGAAAATTAATGCGTCTGTCATTTGACTATCTTTACGCAGTGATCTCCCCTGAATTTTTCTGCGTTAGTGTACATATAAAGGGAAGTAACCGCTTAAAAAAAGCGGACTACTTTCGGCATTTGCAATTAACAGCATCAGGGTCTGAAATTTCGCTACCATTATTTGTTTGGTCTGACGACCCAAACAAATAAAAACCGCATGCATATTGATTGATTTACTTTTAAACATACATTCATATATCTTTTTAACATACATTTATATATACACATAATATAATGCACTATTATGCACGGCCATTCAGGCTTGTGCAACTATCTAAAAATGTTTTGATGGAAAGTGTCTTGTTGGAATATTCTGTAATACTGTATATAATGTTATCAATTTTGACTGAATTTTTATTCTTTTGACGAGTTCATTTATTTCCTTTGTTTTAATTAAGATGCTGTCTGTTTAGAGGATTCATATGAATTCATATACATGTTTAAATTTCTTGGATTTCCTATAGTAACGAATTTAAAAATAATATAAATAATCATTATTCCTCTATACAGCTTAAATGTTATGAATTGCACATAAAAAATTAAGATAATTCTGTCAAGTTTTTTAATATCTGTGCAAAAGGAAAATATGTTTTACATATGAGATTTTTTCAATCCATTCCCACTATCTCACTCTACCTATTTTTCATGGCTAAATGTTAATAATAATCTGTTCAGTATGAAAATGCTTAAAAATATGACATGTTAAGGATGACATTGATATCAAAAGATGAAAAGATAAATGAAATAGCAATATTAAATTTGAAATTAAGCACGGTCCGCCTCGTCTCGAGTCACGGTCTGCCCTGTCCCAAAATATGGTCTGCCCTATCCAAACATAAGGTCCACCCTGGTACGGTCCGCCCTGTCTCATGGTCCGCCCTGTCCTACGACCTTATATAGACGATGGTTGCCCTTCGTAAAGACAGACATCAATGAAAAATCAAATTATAAAATTGGTCGGTCTTGCAGTCGAAATATTGAGACTAAGTCAAATGAGGCCCTAAAAAAAAAAAATATGTTAGCCATCTACAGTACTTTTTTCAGAAATCTTAATTATTTTGCAACACTGTTTAAATCCACCACTTTAAAAACTCCTGTCTGCTGGTAGGTAGGACATCTTTAATTCTTACCCAAACAAACGGGGTCCTGAAGAATACACATTTACACAAAAAAAAAAAACACTTTTAAACTCATCATCAGTGATCATATAAATATATACACAAATTAATCAATCATATAACACAAAAACTAAACAGATGCAATAAATACACTTTAATTATGACTAATCAAAATAGTGATGACTAAAATTTGGCCACTTCAAAATTTCAAAGAAACTACTTTCTAGATTACAATGAGTTGGGTCTAATTCTGTACCGTCAATTAATAGATTCGGGAGTGAAAATATTTTGACATGCCAAAGCTAGATTCTGGGATATTTTGTTCCTCGTTAGAATCTCGCTTCTATGTCAAAACAGAAACAGACCTTTCTGTGCTTAAACATAAATTAACCATGTTAGTTTCATTTAATTGCCTCATTTATGCACAAACGCTGTCTTATTATAATGCTGTCATTACGCTGCTACTTAGTCCAACTTATTGTACTATGCTATGAGATAAATGTATTGGGCAATATTTCCCCTCTACGATGTAGAAGCGAGATTCTAACTCAGAATGAAAATATTTCGGAATCTAGCTTTGGCACGTCAATATATTTAGATTAGCTGCAACTGTAATGTAATGTAAAACTTGTATATACACTAAATATAGATATTGTTCTGCCCAATCCCGCATTGTGTCCTAATTAGAATCATGGTGAATGTGGTAAAATATTTTTTTACTGGCGATAGTCTTCTTTAATTATATTTCTTGCATCATTTTAAAAAAATCACCAGGAAATGATTAATACCTTTCATAATTGAAATATTTAAATTAATGTGGAGAAACTAGAAGTCTTACTGGGAATTTTTTTAAACAAACTAATAATTGATATGACAAATACTGTATTCATTCAATAAAAGAAGTGGCTAGCCGAATGGGCCCCTACTGCTAGTACTAGCCAAAAGTTTAACACATACTGCTAGCCTTTACACAAGGTTATGCTAGTTGTACAGCATTTTTCAATGATAAGTAAAAGGCAATAATATGAAGTCAGTAACTTGCGAGGTTAATTATATATTTGCACAAAATATTCACACATATCATTTTTTTTTAGCTCACCTGTCACAAACTGACATGGTGAGCTTTTGTGATCGCTTTTCGTCCGGCGTCCAGCCGGCCGTCCATCCATCTGTAAACTTTTACTTTAAACAACATCTCCTCATGAACTGCTAAGCCAATTTCATTCAAACTTCACAGGAATGTTCCTTGGGTAGTCAACTTTGAAAGAATTTAATTCCATGCAGAACTCTTGCCATGGCAACTGAAAGTAAAATTTTTTAAAATCTTCTTTAAAAAACCCGAAAGAGCTAGAGCTTGTTTAAATATTTGGCATGAAACATTGTCTAGTCAGTATCTACCAAATTTGTTCAAATAATAGCCCTGGGGTCAAAATTGCCCCTTCCCCCGGGGGGTCATTGATTTTCCTTATTTGTATACAGTAAAAACTTGAAAATCTTTTAAAAAAACCCAAATAGCTAGAGCTTAGATATTAAGCATAAATGTGTTCTAGTGGGTGCCTACCAAGTTTGTTCAAATAAAAGCCCTGGGGTCAAAATTGGCCCTGCCTCAGGGGGTCATGTTAAAACTGAAAAAATCTTCTTTTAAAAAACCCGAAGAGCTACAGCTAAGTTATTTAGCATGAAACCTGATACATTTTCTAATGGGTGTCTATCATTTTTGTTCAAATAAGGGCCCTTGGGTTAAAATTGGCCTAGCCCTGGGGGGTGCAGGGGGTCATTGATTTTCCTTATATTTGTGTACAGTAAACTCCGCTTATAACAAACTCATCGGGACATTCAAAATCTGTTGCTTATATCTGGAGGTTCTTGTAAGCATATAGCCATTAGTTCCTTGTATCAGGAGTTTTTATAGCTAACACATTTACATATAACGAACTGATTGTTTACCATCGTCAGCCATTTTAAAGAGCATTTGATTAAGAAAAATTAGTCATTTATTTCTATTTCAAACACAATACTCGAGAGCGTACTTTTTAGAATATGAAAATCCTTTGCTATTTCACTTTCTTGTAAGCATATAGCCATTAGTTCCTTGTATCAGGAGTTTTTATAGCTAACACATTTACATATAACGAACTGATTGTTTACCATCGTCAGCCATTTTAAAGAGCATTTGATTAAGAAAAATTAGTCATTTATTTCTATTTCAAACACAATACTCGAGAGCGTACTTTTTAGAATATGAAAATCCTTTGCTATTTCACTTTTAGTTTTATTCCCTATCTCAATTTCTCATAAAATATAATTTTTTTTTCTAAACTCTTCGTTTTCTTTCCATGATTGAGAATAAACAAGATTTTCGATTTTTCCTTCCTTTTATATTGAATATCTTCTATTATTTTTTAAGGGTGACTTTTACTAATGAAAGATATAGATTTATTTTCATTTAAATCAAGCGTACTTTGCAGTTTGCGATGGATCATACTTGCAAGCATGCGTGATTATGTTGAAAACTGATTATAAATTATTATAATTATTTTCCTCGAGCAAAACTATTGAAGAAAAGAAATAATAGAATAAAAGGAATAACTGTTTTATCTTGGTGAAAAGAGCTTATATTTAAAATATCCTAAATAGAAAACTATACAAATTCATTTTAATAGATGTATTTAAGTACATGCAACAATTAACGGTTCATTCAGCCGAGTTTTAATCCTTGCCAATGGAAACGAAAGTTGAAATTTATGGATAGCCAATATTTTGGTGTTCGTTATGAAAGTGTAATTTTCTGTACTTATAACTAATTTGGGACTAAGAAATGAGTTCAGTATAAGCGATAATTCCTTATAACTGTGTTAGCTACAACCGTATATTTTTATATAAAATAAAGAAGGGCAAAATTCGGGCCAAAATAAATTGTTCCCTATAACCGGAAGTTCGCTATAACCGTGTTTGCTATAAGTGAAGTTTACTGAAGTAAAAACTTAAAAAATATTTAAAAAAAACCCAAAGAGCTAGAGTTTAGATACTAAGCATGAAATATCTTCTAGTGAGTGTCTACCAAGTTTGTTCAAATAAAGACCCTGGGGACGAAATTGCCCCATAATGTTTTTCCCTATATGTGTATAGTAAAAACTTAAAAAATCTTTTTAGAGCTAGAGCTTTGATATTTATCATGAAACATCTTCAAATGGGTGTCTACCAAGTTTGTCTAAGTAAAAGCCACTGGGTTAAAATTGGCCCCGCCCGTGGGCCTATATACAGGTGAGCGATTTCAGGGCCATCATGGCCCTCTTGTTTAATTTATGGATGATGTTTGGCCATTTATAAAGAATGATATTTCGATCTATAAAAATTTAAATTTAGCAAACATTGACCTAGCAACAAGTGAATTTACCAGTGACTTTCATAGTAACCAATGATTTCTAAGTAAAAAATTGGTTTTGTATAGCAACCAGTGACTTCTATAGTAATTTTTAATTTTCCTTAAAGAAACAACCAGTGTGGTTACACATGATACAAATATGATTTTTGGTATCAGATAAAGATTTTAGACTTAATATCTGCTTTTCATTTATAGCTTACAATTTTACTTGTTCCTGTCATTTATAATCAGGTGAGCGATATTAGGGCCATCATGGACCACTTTTTATGCCCCCGGGCATATAGTAATTGAACCGTCCGTCTGTCGGTCTGTCCGTACGAGGTTAACCTAGAACGGCAAGTTGAATTTTTCCTAAGTTCTACCTGTACCGATGGCTTCATAATTTACACACATGTACTAATCCATACAAAGTATATGATCTGGGCAAGTTACATAACTATGGCTTCCATTTGCACCAAGTTATGGCCCTTTTCAGCACTTAAAAAATGAATAATGGTTAACCTAAACCGGCAAGTTGGAAATATCTTATGTTCTATCTGAACTAATGGCTTAATAATTTTCACACTTACTTATCAATACAATGTACATGATATTGCCAAGTTATATAAATGAGCCATCCATTTTCCCAGTAATTTCCCTTTTTATCACTTTGAAAATAGGGCCTTGTATGGTTAACCTATTCCGCCAAGTTGGATTTATCAAAAAATTTCACCTAATTACTTAATTTATTTAATGATATCTTTCATATTTGGTAGGTGGATACCTTTAACGATCTCTTTTTTTTGTGGCGTTGGGCGTCTCTAGGTCAAGGTTAAGGTCACTTCTGTAAAAAAATAAATCTAAACATTTCTGCTCATACAGCCTTTATTTCTAAGTTAATGTCTTTCATGTTTATAATAGTCATACCAAGGGAGGTCCTCTTCCTTTTCCGAGGTCCTCTTCCTTTTCCTTTAGTAAGGGGTCATTTGGGTCAAGGTCACCAATGTCAAAAATAGATTGTTTACACTTTTACAGGTGTGTTAACCTTATTCTATTGACAGATGTCTTGTATATTTTGTAGGAACATAAAATTGAGGTATTCTCATTTGGATGGAGGTAGGGGTCAGTTGGGTCAAGGTCACCAGTGCTAAAAATAGATTTTTACACTTTGGCTCATACAGCCTTTACTTATTGACAGATTTGTATTATAATTGGTAGGAAGATAACTTACATGGTATTCTTCCTTTGGATGGAGTTAGGGGTCAGTTGGGTCAAGGTCAACTGTGCTAAAAATAGATTTTTACACTTTTGCCCATACAGCATATACATGTATATATTGACAGATTTATTTCATATTTGGTAGGAAAATAAGTTGCATGATATTCTTCCTTTTGATGGAGTTAGGGGTCAGTTGGGTCAAGGTCACCAGTGCTAAAAATAGATTTTTTACACTTTTGCCCATACAGCCTTTATTTTAAATAGTGTTACTGACAAGTATCTGAGCCGGGGGCATTTGTGTTTAACAAACACGTTCTTGTTTTGCATATGGTGTTAAAATGATGCTGCATTAATGCAGGAAGTGGCATTTTTGTTCTTTCTTCACCAGTTAAGCTAGAAAGTCCTCATATGACATTTACAGTGAGCATATGGCCTAAAATCCAACAAATTTGCATCAAAATAAATAATTAGCTTAATAACACCAATGAAAATTTTTGTTCCTTTTATGTTATGTTATGTTTGTACTGATGAAAAGTAGCTGCATTCTTCACCCAGTGAGCAAGTAAAGGGTCCTTTTGTCTGTGTTAAATATTTTGCAATAAAGACAAATATGATAGGATTAATTGTTTAAACATAAACTATTTCAGGTAGGTGAAGAGGTAGTTATTCCAGTTGAAATCCAAAATGCTGGTTATTCATTAGATGCTGTGACTGTGTGGCTTACAGATAGACATCTACAGGTAAGAAACAAGGCTTGTTCCTGATAGAATTGATCACTCTCGGGTTTGAATTTCTCTATCCTTGATCTAACCCAATGATAAAAATGAATAAAGGTGAATTGACAACTTACTTTCAACAGCTGAATTTATCTTAGAGGAGAATATTGGTGGGGAGCCACACTCACTCTTATGCATATTTGATTTTAAATGGTGGCCAAACAAAAATATAAATGCACTGGAAGTTAAGCAATATGGAGAAGAAGAACAGTTAACAACTCTTTGATATGAATTGCCCAAAACTTATCTGTAATAAAGGAAAATAAGCAGGTATTGATGAGTGGTTAGATTTTAAATTGTATGTGTTAAAAAACAACCAAGAAAAGATGCTTGAGATGCTTGAGACATTTGAACCCAGGCAAGTAGCCTTTATTCAATGAAAAGATTTGGTCCATGGACAAGACATATGCATGGCCACAATCAGCCTTCTGTTAGATCATAACAGCAGACTATTGATAAGTCAGATATGATTTTATAACAATTACAATATAAATATAGCACTGAGACTTAATGAGTCATATTGAAAAGTAAAAGGTTTATATATGTAAATTTTCTTTGCATCTGTCCCTTTGTATGAGGTAAACCTAAACTGGCAAGGTTCTATCTGTACCAATGGCTTCATAATTTACAAGATCACCAGTGCTAACTTATATAGCCTTTTATTTATTGACTGATGTATTTGTTGGGAACAAACATATTTTTGGTGCTCCTATACCATTTTCTGACTCTAACAGTGGCAGTTGATGTTTTGATTTCAGGAGATTTTACAGCTACTACAAGGAACAATAAAAACTTTCATTGAGCTGAAGAAATATAAACAAACTTGTGTGAAAGAACATCAAAGTTTTTCAGGCATTGTCACAGGTAATACCTAAAATATTAATAAAATACACAGATGGTGTTGCTAAGATTAGAATTAGCAAATGTCCCTATTGATACTTTGACAGGCAGTTTTTATTATCCACTGAGCTGATGGTATTGGGAGAGAGATATTTCTTTGGCTTTGTCTGTCCGTGTGCACCCACTTAGGTGACATTATTGAAATATCCATGTTCCTTTCATACAAACTGTACTTGTGGGAAAAAAAGTTGCTTTCAGGGTTAAAATAGGTTGCTTATGATGTTTTAGACTTGAAAGATATAACCTTTAATGTCAACTTGGAATAAAGGTTGTTCACACTTCTGAAAATTAATAGGTGGCCATCTGACTGTAAACAGAACAAATGAGAACAGTGGAGTTCATTCCTTAACAATAGAATAAGTGGCTAATGGCTGTTTATTATACAAAAGAAAATAAAAAAGAAATAGCCCCTCATTATCCCTCATCAAAGATAGGAGGCATATGGATTTGGCATTTCAGCCCTCTTTCTGTCAGTTTGTCATCTGTCACAGAATTGAATAGAGCATAAAAGGAACTATTTCAGGTTTAGAACCTAAAACTTCATTTGAGATTACATTTCATTAAAAAGAGGTGCTCTCTCAAAGAATCATTCATAACTCTCTGTTTGTCCATTGTCAGTCTTGAAATTGTCCATCACAGAATTGAATGGTGCATAAAACTTTAACTATTTCAATTTGGAACCTTAAACTTTATATGTGGTAAAGAAGTCGTGAAGAAATATTGTGTCTTTGAATCAAAACTTGCTTTAGTTATTGCCCTTTGCAATTTTTAGTTCGACTATTCAATAAGAATAAGTAGAGCTATACTAGTCATCCGAGGGCTGGCATTGGCATAACCACTTATGTTAAAGTTTTTGTAATACCTCAAATATTTTCAAAGTCCATTGACATATGGCTTTGAAACTTTGCACACTTGTTCACCATCGTGACCCCAACCTGTAGACAGGAGGAGGTAACTGTATCAAGCATTTGGACAAAATTATGCCCCTTTTTTGACTTGGAATTTACGTTAAAGTTTTTGTAACACTTGTCCATTGGCATATGGCTTTGAAACTTTGCACACTTGTTCACCATCATGACCCAAACCTGTAGACAGGAGGAAGTAACACTATCAAGCATTTTGACATAATTATGCCCCTTTTTTCGACTTAGAATTTACTTTAATGGTTGCGTACCACCTTAAATATTTTCAAAGTCCATTGGCATATGGCTTTGAAACTTTGCACACTTGTTCACCATCATGACCCCTACCTGTAGACAGGAGGATGTAACTGTATCAAGCATTTTGACAGAAGTATGCCTTTTTTCGACTTATAATTTACGTTAAAGTTTGCATATTCCCTAAAAACTTTACACACTTGTTCACCATCATGCCCCCAACCTGTAGACAGGAGGAGGTAACTCTATCAAGCATTTTGACAGAATTATGCCCCTTTTCAACTTAAAGTTTGCATACCACCTCAGATATTTTCATATTTCATTGACATCTCGCTTTGAAACAAGTCGAAATTTTATACACTTCTTTGTAATCATAACTGGGCTCTCATCAAGGCCTATAATATGGATTTGTAAAAAAAATTAGCCGTTTTGTGAACTTAGAAAATTTTACATTATCAAGGCTCTACTATCAAGCACTTAGAGTAGTCAAGTGTGCTGTCCTACGGACAGGTCTTGTTTGGCTCACCTGTCACAAAGAGACAAGGTGAGCTTTTCTGATCACAATCTTTTTGTCTGTTGTCCATCCTTAACCTTTTAATTTAAGCCAATTTCATCCAAACTTCACAGGAATGTTCCTTTGGTGGTCACCTTTAAATATTGTTCAAAGAATTTAATTCCATGCAGAAGTCTGGTTGACCAAAAGAAAAAACTTCTTTTTAAAAACTCCAAAAAGCTAGAGTGTAGATATGTGACATGAAACATCTTGTGAGTGTCTACCAAGTTTGTTCAAATAAAAAGCCCGGGGTCAAAATTGGCCCCACTCAAGGGGGTCATTGATTTACCTTATTTAGTAAAAACTTAAAAAAATCTTCTTTCAAAAAACCCAAATAGCTAGAGCTTAGATATTAAGCATAAAACATCTTCTAGTGAGTGTCTCCCAAGTGCATTCAAACAAAGGCCCTGGGGTCAAAATTGGTCCGGCCCTAGGGTGTCATTTATTTTCCTAAAATGTACATACATGTAGTAACAACTTAAGAAATCTTCTTAGATATTAAGCATGAAAAATCCTTTAGTGGTGTCTACCAAGTTTCTTTAAATAAAAGCCCTGGGGTCAAAATTGGTCCTGTCCTGGGGGTCATTGATGTTACTTTTATGTACAAAATGTATATAGTAAAAACTTAAAAAATCTTCTTTAAAAAAAAAACTCAGAGAGCTAGAGCTTAGATACTAAGTATGAACAATCTTCTTATGGAATCTTCTTATGGGTGTCAACCAAGTTTGTTTAAATAAAAGTCTTGGGGACAAAATTAGCCCTGCCCAAGGGGGTTATTGATTTTCCTTATAGGTATATAGTAAAAACTTTCTCTGAAAAATCTTCTTTTGAAAATTGAAAGAGCTAAAGCTTAGATATTTAGCATGAAATATCTTTGTGAGTGTATTCAAAGTTTGTTGGGGTCAAAATTGGTCCTGTCCCAGGGGTGTCATTGATTTTCCTGATACTTTTGGAACAGTTGTTTTCCCTTAGCAATAGCAACCAGAAATGTTTTTACACTTGCACTAATGACTATTTCAGAAACAAATATGAACTTTGTGATATCAGTTTTAGATTAAGTTTATAGTTTACTTGCTCTTTGTCATGGAGAGTTTTAATATTCTGGTGAGCAATTTCAGGGCCATCATGGCCCTTTTTTTCATAGTTATTTTTGCATTTGTTATTTTTCATGCTTAATTATTTTGTTATTTTTATGCCACAGCAGCATCTGCGATGCAGCGGCATATAGCGATTCACCTGTGTGTGTGTGTGTGTGTGTGTGCGCACGTGTGTGTTATATAGATTATATAGTGAACTTAAAAAATCTTCTTGTGAAAAACCACTAGTCCAATTTCAACCAAACTTGGGTGAAGGGCTTCCAAAGTTGTTCAAAGAATTTCATTCCATGAAGAAATCTAGTTGCCATGGCAACCAAAAGGAATTATAAAAATAAATTTGAAAAATCTTCTTGTAAAGACCCAGGAGGCCTAGAGCATAGATATTTGGCATTGTCTGGTAGACCTCTACCAAGTTTGTTCAAATTATAGCCCTGGGGTCAAAATTGACCCCGCCCAGGGGGGTCATTGATTCTCACTATATGTATATTTGGTATATGATATCATCTATCCAAAGTTGTTCAAATTTTGCCTCTAGTGTCAAAATTAGCCCCGCCCTGGGTGTCATAGGTTTAACTTGTATGTATATAGTAAAAACTTAAAACATCATCTTTTCGAAATTGATAAAGGCTAGAGGATGGATATTTTGCATGAAACATTGTGTGATCCTTTACCAAGATTGTTCAAATGATAGCCTTTGGGTCAAAATTGCCCAGGGGGGTCATTGATTTACACTATGTACATATAGTAAAAAATTAAAGAATCTTATTGTCTGAAGGTACAAGGCTTAGAGCTTTGATATTTCGTATATGATATCATCTATAGGTACTCTACCAAAGTTGTTTAATTTTTGCCTCTAGTGTCAAAATTAGCACCAAAGGTTTTCCTTATATGTACAGAATAAAAACTTTAAAAAATCATCTTTTTGAAATTGACAAAGGCTACGGGTTAGATATTTTGCATAAAACATTGTGTAATGAATCTTTACCAAGCTTGTTCAAATTATATCGCTGAGGTCAAAATTGGCCCCACCCCGGGGGTCATTGATTTTTCAGTCACTATGTCATATAGTAAAAAATTAATTTTTGCCCCTAGTGTTAAAATTGCCCTGCCCCAGAGGCGATAGTTTTCCTTATATGTTTATAGTAAAAACTTAAAAAATCTTCTTCTCTGAATTGACCAAGGCTAAATATTTGGCATGAGACTTTGTGTAGTGAACCAAAAAATCTTCTTCTCTGAATTGACCAAGGCTAAATATTTGGCATGAGACTTTGTGTAGTGAACCTTTACCAAGATTGTTCAAATTATAGCCCCTGGTTTCAAAATTGTACACATAGTAAAAACAGAAACTAAAACAAATATTTTCTGAATTGGAGAAAGCTACAGCTTAGATATTTGACATGAAATGTTGTTTGAATTTCCGTCAGTTTCTGTTCATTATTTTGGTAACGATTGCACACATTGCACTCAAATTTGACAAATGGATATATCATAGGAAAATACAGATCAAGTTCGAATTTGGTCATAGTCCGATGATTTTTGGCAGAGTTATGCTCCTTGATAAAATTTTCAGTTTCTGTAACATTAGTGTACTTTACACTCAAATTTGACATATGGATACATCAGAGGAATGCGCAGGTCAAGTTCGAATTTGGTCATGGTTCTATGATTTTTGGCAGAGTTATGCCTCTTTCACTTTGAGAAAATAAGAAATTTTCAGTTTCCATTCATTATCTCTTCAACGGTAGTATACATTCAACTCAAATTTGACATATGGATACGTCAAAGGAATGAGAAGGTCAAGATCCAATTTTGTGATACTGTATTCCTAGAAAAGATTTCGCGCATTTTAAGTTAGCGGTTTTCGCGGTAGGCATGATTCTGTGAATCTTTATAGCCGCGAATATGTCACTTATAACATATCCGCGAACATTTCTAGCTTCAACCAAATATAACTTAAAAAGTGCAGAATATTTATAATAATCTACTTACACAAAACAACATATAAACACAGATGTCAGAGAAATGTGTAAAGAATTATTTATGTATGTTATTGATACTAGTTTTCATGTTGAAAAAGAAAATATGAATTATTAGTAATTAACATGCTTATGGACGCTATTTGCTTGTCACGGCGTTGACAAACGCATTTACAGTTTG